CATTTCGGGGACAACATTGAGGAATGTCACTGAAGCGGAGATGACAAACGAAGTAGGGAATGTATAGGACTGCAAATCAACGGGAGAAAGACTCCATTTATACAGAACGCTTTTTCCGAGAGGGAATGGAATCAGAAGGATCTTCAGTCGCGGAAGCGTCTACCTACGTCTACTTTGCGCCTTCGATGAACATGAAGAATGAACTAAAAGAAGACCTATACAGGAGGCAAACGGCAGCTTGGGCAGCCGACTAATGTAGGACGACCACCTAACGGACACAGAGCTCTAAGTCCACCGTCGTTTCAACCTTTTACAGTGACCTTCTCTATTGAATGAATGAAGGAAAACTCGCTTCTAGATGAGGTTTGCTGATAGCAAATCACCTAGAGTTGTCAGTCAGACATGTAATTGAAGTTGAAGTAATTTGACCGTCTAAATGCTTTATCGTAATTTGAGTAAGGAAAGATTAAATGCAGTTTGATTATTTGTGCAGGTCCTTGCTTGGAACTCTGAAGAAGTTGAATTTGAATTCCAATCGATAATGGCCATAAGCCCGTACAAAGAAAGAGGGATTGCATTGTGGTCCACAATGTGGGAATCGGTAGACACTCTCAAAAGTGCAAGGAAATACAAAGTAAAAAATTCAGATGCACACTTTTTCCCGTACGCAGAGAATTTCAGGATCAGCTTTATCAGAATCGTTATGAAGACGTACTTAACAACACGGCGCCACAAATATTGGCTCATCCAGGAATCTACATTGACGAAATGTTATGCGATGAAGAGAAGTATGACTGTGAGAAGTTAGCAGAGTGCATGGGAATTAGCATAAAGGTATGTGATAGGTTAAAGAATAAACATGAAAATGATAGAATGATTTAGTCAAAAATCGATGAGGAAATGGAGGAAGAGGTGGATCCATGCGCAGAATATGAAACTGATATACAAACAATTTTCATTGACCAAGAGCATTCTGATATCAAGTGTTATTTTAAGCATAAAAGCTTAAAAGATTGTTTTCATCAACTAAGCAATAAAAAGGATTTTCAGAGTTTTATCCGGTCAAAGTTACCGAATTCGCTTAAGGGAGGAGGTCTTTGCAACTGATGCCACTAAAGTCGGTCGTGCTCGTCTCATTTTCTTAATCACGAGTACCACTGCTTTGTTTAGGTAGACTGGCGGGTTTCATCGCGACCTCCTGCTCGTTACGACACTTCTAGATCCTGTTTGGAACAAGGCATAGTACAGCTGAAAAGTGGAGATCTTTTACTGACATCACTGACATCAAGAGACGTAAGAAGGCGTATGGTTGCAACGTTGCCGGATGGACGAAAGATCAATATACAATTCCACGATGCAGGGTGCGTAT